GGGGGGGGGGGGGGGGGTGGGGGCGACGCTGTGCTGAGACAGCCGAGACCGTGAACGACCCCCCACATCGGAACCTCTCGACCCCATGTCTACACCCTCAACGGTTCCCTCCTCACGCCACCCCCCTTCCTGGTTTAGCCCCCCTTCCGTGCCATCTCCTCGCTGGTCGCTGACTCGCGCAGCCCCCGCCCCACCCCTCCTCCGCCTGCCCGCCCCCCCTCAACCTACAAGCCCCCCCCCCCCCCCCCTCCCCCCCCCCCCCCCCCCCCCCCCCCCTTCCCCCCCAAGAAGGAGGGCGCGGGGGGAGGAACGGTCGTCGCACCACAGGCGACGATCACCAGAGACTACGCACCCGCCCTCGTCGCTGAAGGCCAGCGCCCACTGGCCGTCAGGCAAGTATTCGCGCTGCTCGGAGAGCAGCTCAACCAAGAGATCCTTCCCTAAGGCATCATCGCGAATGAGCTCGAATCTGGAACGGTCGAAGGCCTGGTCGTCGCCCATCTGGGCGGCGTGGTCGTCGCCCATCTGGGCTCACAGAGTGCGCTACATTAAACGGTGGTGCGAAGAATCGCTGAGGCTGAATCGGCAGTCGGTGGAAATGCACCGATGCTGATGGCGATACCCCTTTCCTCCACCATTCCTCCTCTCCTGACTCCTCCCCCCCTCCCCCCTCCTCCTCCCCTCGCCCGCCGTTCCTCAATCCTCCCGTCCTCCACGGGCCACTGGAATGTTATCGTAAGACGGGCCATCCAAATCACACCTGGACGATCAGCAGAGTTCGTTCCTCGGCATCCGCCTAATCGCTTCGCGTTGCTCCTCATCTTTCTCATCCCCCCATGGGTTTCGAGGTGCAGCGCGATGCTATGCTGACGGGCGCCGTTGCACTCGCCATGTCGACCACTTCTGAGATGAGAGCAAGGCATGGATGGGGGGAGAAGGAGCGAGGGAGGAAGAGGGGAGATCGGAGGAAGGAGGGAGGAGGAACGGAGGAGGAACGGAGGAGGAACGGAGGAGGAAGGGAAGCGGATGGTGGAGGAACGGAGGATGATGGCTGCACGCGTGAAACATGGCGAAATGTTGCCAACTGAAGTTCGAACTACCGACGGATCGCTCGCGCATGGCCGAGAAACCGCACGCAGCTCGAGAGAGCTGCTGCACCCACGATTCCCGCCTGCGCCGATGAATCCACGAACCACGAACCACGAATGAGGACGGGGCCAGGGACGAGCTTCGAGAGGGCGACCCGAATCTGAATTGCGTCTCACACATCTCCCTGGGAAGGATGGACTGGACTCGCTCCAACCCAGACCCTGAAACCTCATTGATCTAAAACTCGCCTGGCGCCAGGTCGGAACTGAAAAAAACGAGCACGCTAAAGCTGGCTACCATCACCGATTTCACTCACTCTGCCTGGAATGCCTGCGGCGCATCCTCAGCGAGCTGCGCCTTCATGGCGAGCTTGGCCAAGCGCTTCTTCTCGGAGGCGCTCGAGGGCGGCTTCGCCCCTGGAAGGCCCACCAACGGCGCCGCGGGCGTCGGCTGTGGCGAGGAACGCAGCCCGCTGGAACTGGCGGCACCACCACCAGCTGACGAGGCTGAGGAAGGCTCCATCACTTGAGAATTGCTCTTCACAGGGGTGGACATCACAAACTCCGAAGCCGCGCAGTCGCTGATGCCCGCGACGTCGGCAACGTCAGGGACCTTCTCCTCGTCTGCGCCCTGGCCCGTCGCGTCGGTCGTGGCGTCGGCCAGCGCGAGGGGGCCCTGCGACGAGGAGGCGGGTGGCGCAGGAAGAGCCAACATCCCAGCGGGGCTCGACGCCGGCCCAAATTTATCACTGATGATGCTCATGGGCGACGCCTCCTGGAAGAATATATTGATCGGGATCTTGTTCCACGGCTGCTTCGGGTCGAGCAGCAACGGCTCGTTGTAAATCCAATTGTTGACAGCCATGTAGTTAGCAGAGATCCTCGTGTCGCACCTCGGCGCGATCGGCACCACCGCGTCAAGAACTTTCAAGTGAGTGAACTCGTGCTCGTGGCGAGGCGCATCGCCTTGATACGGCGGCATCAAGTAAAAGGGCCCAGACATGCTGAAGTCAATCATATTGTTACCGTCCAGCACAATCTCGTCGAAAGCGTCGATCTTCTTGGCACGCTCGGCAAAGGTTCCGAGCCACACTGACTTTTTGAGGGGGCCGAAGGGGTCCGTCGGCAACGTAAGCGTGAGGCGGTAGAACAGTTTCCTCGGCGCGTTGGCATCCTTCTTGCATATGTTGGCAATAGTTTTTTGTCGTAGCCGACGTGTGGCAGGAATGAGTACTTGATGAAATTCAATGGCATGTGCTTCAACATTTTGCCAGCCAACTCCGCGTCGAAGTATTCTGACTCGGCGTCCTCGGGAATGGAGCATTTCGAGACCTCGAGGATTGCCTTGCATCGTTTGGGGTCAGCTTTGACGATCTCTGCCAGCTCCTTCATATTTTTGCGATGTTCGCAAGACTCCATCGACTTCAGCAGGGAACCAATCTCTTTGCTCATCTTGCCACGCTTGGCCGCAACATTGGCCTCGGAAGAACCGCGTTTCCCCATGGTCTGAAGCGACTGCAGGTGGAGAAATCGAGAAGAAACTATAACGAGAACTCGAACCAAAACACGCTCCGCAACACAATTGAGGACGCCGTGCGAAGATTCAGCCCCGTTTCCTCTCGGGACGCGGCGGGGGAGGGGAGGGGCGAGCCTTTCCGAGGGTTCCTGCCCATCCGAAGAAAACTGGATTTCCAGGACCGCGCCTGCGGCGTGCCGACCCCTCGTTTGTCCAGGACCCGACAATGTTAAATCCAGCCTCTCTCTGAAGAGGGGGGGGGGACAAGAAACACAACACACGGGAAAACGCAAAGATCATGGGGAAACCCAACAATTGACATTATCAGGCGGCCTCGCGGAAGCGGGCGGTGGGGGCGAGCAAAGGAAATGCGCCCTCGACACGTATCAAGGCCAACCTCGCCACGACAGATATGAAGGGGGAAGTAAGGAGGGGGTGAGGATCTGAATGAACAAATCAATACAGATGGGTTGTTACGTGTCTTGTGCTTCAATATAGATATCTCGTTTTGAACAGAGGGAGGCGAAGAGTACCAAAAGGACTGTATGGTCGATGATACTGGCGGTGATGATGATGATGATGATGATGATGATGATGATGATGATGATGATGATGATGATGATGATGATGATGATGGCGACATTTGCGCCCAATGATAGAAACCCCACGGCGCTGGCGATGCGAACATCACCGATATATCTGCGACGCCGGTGGCGTCGGCAGTTGCGGTGGTGCTGGGACTTGCTAAGGGTCGCACAAACGTCTTGTTCAGTCACGTCTCTTATCTGCTCGGGGCCACGGCACTGTCGCGTTCAACAGCGATATTTAGCCCGCCACGCGGATGTGGCGCGGTCAACATGTTCTGTGCGTGGCGGAACGCTTTAGCGAACGCAGCCTTGGAGCTGCGAGCTGGGCGGCGTAGGCCCTCACCGACTGCCCTCCGCAACAATGTGGGCCAGCTTCGTTGTGGCCCGAAATGGTTGTGGTGTCATGTAGTTACGCTCAGGGCGTTCCAATGCCATGGTTAGATGATGGCGGTTGGGGCGTTTTTCGAAGCCAAGTTTAGTTTATGGTTTTTTTCTCTCTCGAGGAGGTAAAGAACGGCAGGGGGGGAGTTGCGAAGAGGACGGAGGAGGTGAAGAAGGTGCACGCGGAGGCGGGAGGAGCGGTGAGAGAGGAGGAGGAGGAGGAGGAAGAAGGAGGAGGAGAAGGAGGAGGAGGATAAGTATGAGGATCAGGAGGAGGAGGAGGAAGAGGAGGAGGAGGAGGAGGAGCAGGAGCAGGAGCAGGAGCAGGAGCAGGAGGAGAAGCAAGGAGGAGGTGAAGCAGGAGGACGAGGAGGATCTGTGAGGGAGACGAGAAGCAGGAGGCGGAGGAGGGCCCGCGCCCGATACGCGGCAGTCTGCCCTGTATTCCGCTGCCTCCGGTGCCGCAGGCACGTCCAAGGCACTAGTGGCTGGCCCTATCTGGCGACTGCAACTTGAATTACACGTGCGCGGGCAAGGTTTATACCCACATCTGAAGAAAGGACAACACACACACACACACATCCATGCTTGCAGGAGGGCTGGCCCGCGCCTCGCGATCTGAGGCTGCGCAGTAGGTATGGAGGCGGGTCGTCAAACACCGTGGAGGGACCCCGTTCGAGCGGGCACCCCCATCTGACAGCACGCACCCATAGCCCTTCCGGAAGTCCACCCCGACAAATCTGAGGGTCGTATAGGTATAGGTATTAGTTGTCAGCTCATGAACACCCACAGCGTGTTGGACGTTTGGGGAAGGGATGCCTAAAATCCGAGATGCGGTGCATGTGGATCAAGACACGGCCTCGCTAGAGGATTGCTCGTTTTCCCCATCCATTTCCAATGCTGGGAGTCCGAAAATCCGAGACGCACTGGACATGGATATCAATCCTGCCCGCGGTGTGGGCATGTGGGCCCCAGCAGCTCCTCAATCAGTCTGGCAGGTGCGAGTAGTCCATCCTTGGCAAGATCCCGCGACGGGCCCGCTTACGCAGGCGCGCGCCCGCGCGACGTGGCCGACTCAGAGAACCCTGGATCCAAAGATGTTGGCATCTTACTTCTGCTCCCGCCGCCACTCGCCGACCGTCCGCCAACACGGACCCGCCGCCATTTCAGTTCCGCCCACTGCCGCAAACCTTCCCCCCCATTTCGCCAAAGCGAGATGTGTCGAAGGGGGGGCCCTTTCTGGAGCGCGCCATGTATACGCGTTGCTCGACGATGATCGCGTCGGGGGCACAACGATCACGGGCGTCAAGGTCACTGTGAGATTCAGCGCGCAGAGGCTACAATGCAGCCGCGGATCCTCCGTTGCGATCGATTCCAATCGCGATCGGCAATCTTAAACAAGGCATCGGTTGATCGGATCAAGCCCTCCTAAGACTCCGTCCTTCTCCAGAGCACGATGCGGCCCAGGGAGTCTGCGCTAGCAAGAAGTGTGTCCTGCTTGTTCACCGCCACTGCAACGACGGGCACTGGGTGGTGCTTCAGGTAGTGCATCTTGTAATTCGAACCCCTGGCCAGAGAGTAGATGTAGACCTCCTTGTCTTCCGAGCCGGAGATCAAGTAGCCCTGCCCTGACGGCGAGTAGCAGCACTTCAGGGGCAGCAGTGAGTGGGCAACCCTCACGCGGTGCCGGACCTGGAGGAGGCAGCGTAAAAGGGGAGCAGTAAGCGGATGAGAAGCAGCAGCATCAGTGGGGAAGGAAAAGTGGGGCTAGGATGCGGGAGGAGGGGGAAAGTGGGGAAGGAGGAAAAAGAGAAAAAAGGGATGAGGAAGAGGAAAGGAGAACGGGAAGGGAGGAGGGGGAGGATTTGTTCCTCCCCCTGCAAGTACCACGCGCGGGTGCAGAGATAGGCGCCGTAGCTTAGAATGCTTAACGGGCTAACGGCCAACTCGAGATGATCGCCACACTCTCGCCGCACTGCGGATGCTGGCCCTACAAGAATTGCCTCCTCTTGTGCAGCGTCGCCTCTATGGTCTTCCACCCAGGCGTGCCGTCGGCAGGACAGGGGCTCCCGAGACCAGCAGGTTGGCTGGTCACGTACATGGACCACTCTGTACGCAGTTACGGGTACCGCTGTTGTGAATGTCGTCTTCGGCGTATGTCCCCATGGGGGTGCGAAACTTGTGAGCGGTGCGCCGAAATGGGCGGGGAGCCGCATGCGAACCTTGCCACTGGGGCCCTCGGCGGAGCTCCCTATGGGGGGCTCGAAACGCGTGAGGTGTATCCCGAAATTGGGGATGAAACTGCATGCGAACCTTGTCACTGGGGCCTTCGGTTGAGCTCCCTATGGCGTCACGAAGCATGTTAGGTGCGCGCCGAAATGAGGGGTGGGACCCTGCCAATGGGGCATTCGGTGGAGCTCCACATGGAGCCACGACGCGTTTGAGGAGTGCGCTGACATGCAAGGCGGAATTGCATGCGAACGCAGCCACTGGGGACAGCCACGAAGTGTTTGAATGGTGTGCCGGGATGGCGGGCGGAACTACATGCGAACGCAGCCACTGGGGCCTTCGATGGAGCTCCCCGTGAGGCCACGAAAAGAATGAGGGGTGTGCCCACATGCACGGTGGAACCGCATGCGAACCCATCCACCGGGGCCTTCTGCGGAGATCCCTGTGGGGCCACGAAACGTGTGAAGGGTGTGCCGGGATGGCAGGCGGAACTGCATGCGAACGCAGCCACTGGGGCTTTCGGTGGAGCTCCCGATGGGGCCACGAAACGTGTGAGGGTTGGGCCGGAATGGAAGGTGGAAGCGCATGCGAACGCAGCCACTGGGGCTTTCGGTGGAGCTCTCCATGGAGCCACGAACCGTGTGAGGGGTGCTCCGAAGTGGTTGACATGCAGAGGCCAGGACGGGAGGAGGAAGGAGGGCAGCGGGGGCGAAGGGCGGGAACTGAGGAACGCGGGGCGCTCTCTATTCACAACGAGGACCCAGCACAACAGGATGGTTGGGAGCAATACAAGACCGCCCGCTGGAGCCCCAGGCTTTGCCCAGAGCTCACACAATTCAACGTCGTGGGAATCCAAACGGGCTTCCAAGCGCGCACAACTGGGAGGCCGATCTTCGCCCTCCTCACGATCGAGGGCGGCCACGGGCGTGGCTTTGCAGCGCAAGCCAAGCACTCACTGCCACCGATTCAGGGCGACAGCGACGAATTCGTGGGCGGTCTGCGCGGCCGCCGTGCGAAAGGCAGGCAGCCTGCGCAAGTCCGCCCGCTCCTGCTCTGTTCGGCGCGGAGCCCGAACTCCGCACTCGGGCGGCGCCTCGAAAGGACCGCGTCGTCCTCGCGAGCCCGTTTTCGAGCTCGGCGGCGAGGGAAGCAGATGCGCCGTGGAGGCGCGCTCCCAGCTTGGCCGCCTGGTCGGCCTGGTCATTGAGGCAAGCAGCCCACTCAACTTGTGGTGGGCTGCTCGACTACGTGCACGTACGATTTTGGCTTGGCCAGGCCCGCGTGGGCCTGGTCTTGCTGATGGAGAGCCCGCCAGAAGCCCGCGAAAGGAGACGAGGACATGCCCGCTTGGACCACCCCGCTCCTGGCCGAGCCCAGAACAGAGGAAAGGAGGAGAAGGAGGGGGTTAGGAGGTGGGAGGAGGGATGAGGATGGGGAAAGAGGAGGAGGCGGAGGAGGAGAAGGAGATTGGAAGGAGATGGGAAGGGGATGGGAGGAGTTGGGAGGAGGAAGGAGGATGGGGAAGAAGCAGGAATAGGAGGAGGGGGCAGGGGAGGGTGGGAGCAAAGTTACGTGCAAGACCTGGAGGTTCATTATCTGATTGTTGCCGCTGTATGTGCAGTCGACGATGCTCGCATTGGAGTCGGAGCTGTTGACGAGCAGGCACGCGGGCATCCCGTGGGCCGCAGGGACCTGCCCAACGCCACCTTCTGACCCTTACCAGCGGGAGGCGCGCTCTGATTCGTCCTGTCCAGCGTCAAGCGTACGAGAGAAGCTCGAGCATGGCTTTTGTCCACGCATCTGGCTCGTTCCGGGCCTCTGCAGGCCTCCAGTGGCCTCAGGGGCCTCCACTTCCACAGGCCTCCGAAGGGCTCCAGAGACCTCTGGAGACCCTGGACAGGAGCAGGGGAAGAAGAGCGCCCGCACCCGCATGGAGAAGACAAGGAAAAACGCGAAGAACAACAAGCTGAGCACGCGTTTCGGACACTGCGAGAACGACGAGCGTGAAGAAAGAGGCAGGTTCCTGCGGAGCGCTGCCGATCTCAGAGAGAGCATGATCCACCGCCGCTCTACTGTGGAACATGCCCCCCCCTCTTCTTCCGGACCCCGGGGGTCCCCCCCCCCGTAAGGTCCCCCCCCTCCGAAAATCCCCCCCCCTGCTGGAACCACCCCCACCCTCCCCCTTCCCCCGGCAAAACCCCCCCCCTCCCCGAACCCCCCCCCTCCGGAAAACTGGAGGTCACTGCCGGTTCGAACCCCCCCCCCCTCCGGAAAACCGGGGGGGGGTCACTACCTGTTCGAACCCTTCCCCCCCTCCCCTCCCAGAAAACCAGAGAAGGTTCACTACCGGTTCGAGCCCCCCCCCCTCCGGAAAACCGGGGGGGTCACTACACTACCGGTTCGACTCCCCCCCTCCCCCCTCGAAAACCGTGGGGGTCACTGCTGGTTCGAGCCCCCCCCCCCTCTCGAAAACCGGGGGGGTCACTACCAGTTCGAACCCCCCCCCCTCGAAAACCGGGGGGGGTGTCACTACCAGTTTGAACCCCTCCCCCCCGCCCTCCACGCTCACTGCCATATACCACCGTCCGCACCACATCCCCCACTGCTGTCCCCAGCACCACTGTCCTCACCACCGATGTCCCCACTGTTCCCACCACCGTCACCACTGTCCTCACCAGTGCCCCTACCACTGTCGCACTGTCCCCACTGTCCCCGCCACTGTTCCCACCACAGTTCCACTCTCCCCACTTTCTCCACGGCCCTAACCACTGTCCCACTGTCCCCACTGTCCCACTGTCCCCGCCGCTGTCCCACTGAGCTGTCCCACTGTTCCCACCACTGTCCCCATTGTCCCAACCACTGTCCCTACTGTACCTCTGTCCCATTATCCCACCGCCGTTCTCGCCACCGCCCTTACCAGTGTCGCCACCACCACTGTACCCTCCACTGTCCCACTGTTTCCACCACGTTCCCACTGTCCCCACACCACTGTCCCCACCACCACCGTCCCCACCACTGTCCCACTGTCCCCACTGTTCCCACCATTGTCCCCACTGTCTCCAGCAGTGCCCCCACCAGTGTCTCACTGTCCCCACTCTCCCCGCCATTGTCCCACCACGGTCCCACTCTCCCCACTTTCCCTACGGTCCCCACCACTGTCCCACTGTTCCCACCACTGTCCCACTGTCCCCGCCGCTGTCCCACTGTGCTGTCCCACCGTCCCCACTGTCCCCATCACTGCCCCACTGTCTCCACTGTCCCCACCACTTTCCCCACTGTACTAGAGACCCACCGCTGTCCTCACCACCGCCTTCACCACTGTCCCCACCGTTACCGTCCCCACCACTGTCCCACTGTCCCCACCACTGTCCCACTGTCCCCTCACCACTGTCCCCACCACCACCGTCCCCACCACTGTCCGCACCACTGTCCCACTGTCCCCGCACCACTGCCCCCACCCCCATTCTCCAACTGTCCCGAGGAGCGGGCATCGGTTGCCAACAGCAAGGGGGGGGTGGGGGGGGTCGAACCGGCAGTGACCCCCCCCCCCGGTTTTCGAGGGGGGGGGTCGAACTAGTAGTGACCCCCCCCCCCGTTTTCGAGGAGGGGGGAGGGGTTCGGGTTCGAACTGGTAGTGACCCCCCCCCCTTTTCATGATGGACTGGGGGGGGGGGGTTCGCACCGGTAGTGACCCCCCCCCCGGTTTTCGAGGGGGGGAGGGGGGACGGGTTGGGAACCCCCAATGACCCCCCCCCCGGTTTTCCGCCAAGAGCGGTAGAACACGCTCTTTCCGATCTCACGGCCTGCCCACGAGCGATCGACGACCAGAATGCGGGCTGTTGACGAAACCTACCGATGAAGTCAGGAGTACATGAGCCCCGCTCTTCCAGAGCAGCACAATACTGGAGGCCTCCCAGATGGGGTCCGAGTAGATGGCGTCGGAGGATCGAACTGCATCGCCGATGCATTGGCGTCGTCGGCGTGCAGAAAATCGAGCTCCGCATCGAGCCGCATCGGCGATGCGGTGCGATCCTCCGACCCCCCATCTACTCCGACCTATATAGGAGGCCTAGAACAAAATTCTTGAACGGTGTATGGGCCCGAAGATGGGCAAACCGCACAGGACCTCCTCAGAAACACCTGCTGGACTGGCTTCCAAGACGACCCGAAAGTTTCACCGACCAGCCCAACAGTGGCCCATTCGCTTGGGAAGGATGCAACAAAAATGTGTTCGGGCCCTGTCCGACGGACCCGAAAAGAACCCACACGCTGAGGGCTTCCCACAAAAAAACACTTTATCTGCTGATCCCTTCTTTTCTGCCCCTGGTGGTCCAGAGCGCGCGTCAGATTTGTCAGCGTTTGCCCCCGAACGCGGTTTCTACCCAGGTCCACGAGGCTCGTGCATGACTTCCTTACTGCAGCAGCCTTGCAATCATGCGGCTGCGCTGCATCCGCGGGGAGCCGCGCTTCGCAAAACGGTGTACACTTTCGCAGCGCTGGTTTACAACGCTATGAGCATAGACAGAAAGAAGAAATATCATGTAGAGGGCACGGCGGGATGATGAGTTTAAGCAAAATGCAATGCGATGCAATGTAAAGCGAAGTCCAGCAATGCAAACCCAGGCTCAGCGAACATGTGCAAAGCAAAGCAAAAGCAAGCGGTCGAAGCAATGCAAAGCAAAGCATAAGAAAGGCTAGATAATGCAAGATCGTGGAATGCGAAACAGCACAAATAACTACGCACTGCAACGCTCTGCAACGCACTGCATCGAAGTGCAATGCAATGCAATGCAATGCAAAGCAAAGCGGCGCAAAGCACAGCAAAGCAAAGCAAATCACGGCAGTATCGATATGGCGATCTGCAGCATGTATGTCAATAAGCATACGCACCGGCATACTTCAAGTGCAGTGTAGCTTAAAGCAGTGCAGAGCAGCGCACGCAATGCAATGCAATGCAATGCAACGCAATGCAACGCAATGCAATGCAACACGAAGCAGTCATAAGAAGTGCAAAGGAAAGCAATCAACGCCGAACAAAAAACCAAGCACACTCCCAAAGCCCCCCGAGGATCTCGTGACAAAACTGGGGAATCAGAGTCGGGAAGTCCGAGGGTCAGGAAATTGCGGAGTCATAGAAGGCTGGGGGACGGGAAATCTGGGTGTCTGGGGGTCGGGGAGTCGGGGAGCCGGGGAGTCGGAGAGTCGGGGGGATCGCGGAGTCGGGGAGTCGGCCAGTCGGGGCGTCGGCGAGCCGGGGTATATCGGGAGGTCAGGGAGTCGGAGAGTCGGCCCGAGCGCCTCCAGAATGCTCCAGGTGCCCCAGGGACCATGAAAACGGGATCCCGAGCGAGAATCGAGGAGGAGGAGGAGGAGGAGGAGGAGGAGAAGGAGGAGGAGGAGGAGGAGAAGGAGGAGGACCATCAAAACGGGATCACGAGCGAGAATCGAGGAGGAGG